TTTAAAGGCTCGTTCTGGCTGCAGTGTGAGGGGCAAAGGAGGAAGGAGGGAGAATGGTAGCAGGGCTTCAGCAATAATCCAGGCAACAGGTGAGGGTGGACTACAGTGGGAAAAGGAAGTTGGATTCTGGAACGATTCTGAACATAGAGCCAACAGAAGAAACCAGAGAAAATCACAGAAAACAGAGGGGAGCGTTCCCTCGAATAAATGAAGCCAGGTGGTCAACGAGACCTGGGAGCAGCCCAAACCTATCTTCCCTGGGAACTAAGGAATGAGGGACGCCAGGGCAGAGGGCAGAGGGCAGAGGGCAGAGGGCCTGGCTGAGAAAGCCTCTCTTGAGGCCCAAAGCTCCCTGTCCAGTGGGTTCTGATTAAAAGGGAGGGGGCGGCCTGGGGCTGCAGACCGCTCGAGCCCTCCCTCGGGGATGCCCTGGGTATGAAGGCAGAGATGGGCAGACTCATGGGCAGTCAAGGCTCAGAGGTCCCCAGACCCCAAGCAGCATTTGGCAGCTGAAGACAAATGTGAATGCAGACGCCACCACCCGGGACAGCTGACTGCAGAGGGAAGATGAGGGGAGATCAGTTCACTCAGGACGGAGGATCTCGGAGGGAGAATCTCAGTGTTCTTGCTCTGTGTAAGGCTGGTGGGTTTTGGTGGGAACAATGGTTTCATTCCAAAGTCTCCTTTTCAAGTCACTTCATTTAGAAAATTTAAGATTGGTTCTGACAGCCCAAGGGAGGGAGGCCTGGTGAACAGTGTGTGTCCCTCAACTGTGTGTGTGTGTGTGTGTGTGCGCGCGCGTGCGTGTGTGTGTGTGTAGGGTGAATGTGGGGGGAGAGGAGGGAGCAGCCTCTACCTGGCTTTTTAGTGTGGCTCACGCACAGTCGGGCGCTGTGTCTCTGTCCCCAAACACCGCATCTGCAGAGACTGGAAACTACACATAAATTCATTTCACATCACAGACCCTTCACAGCCCAGTCAGAGAAACCTGGCAAAGGCAATGGCACCATCTTGAAATTTTCAGCCCAGTCAAGCATGGCATCTGTGACTGACATGGATGCGTTCCAGCCTCAGGCTGGGTGGAAACAAATGACTGCTTCCTCCCTTGAGACATGGTTTTCTGGATTATATTCAGAGGGAGGTGCTCTTTCTTATGACGAAGCACTACACAGGCACTCAGCGCTGCTTAAAATGACCTATGATGAGAGAATCAGCGTTGGTTAGAAGGCTGCCCGAAAGCCGGAGTCACACAAGGAAAGCCTGGACCCAGATTCAGGGATTTGAGGGCAGAGGCGGCTCCTGATCATGTCCATTAATGGAGAAAAGCAACACACTCCTGCCACTTCTAGCTATAACTGTCCACTGACTGGGAACCACACTCACACAAGACTGTGAGTTGGGGCAGAAGAGGGTTCAATGAGGTGCTCTGTTCTTTCTGTGCGTTTTTCTCTACAGATGTTCTTCCCAGCATGGAAATTCCACAAGTTTTAACTCTGAAAACACACAGTTAATCACAAAGGTAAGCTTCTTTGTGAAGCACTGGCCCTGTGGTCGGCCTCACCCATGGACTCTCTAGCTTCTGGCTGACCCGAAAGCCAGCATGTCACAAAGACGTGGAGAACCTTAGCCAGATAAAGATTTATTATCCAGCCAGCGCTTTTATTTCTGAAGAGGTCCTGCTAAGTGTTTCACTGCCCCTCCAGACCATGGCCTGTGCCCTCCATTTTCCTCACTTAATGAAACAACAGACTTGTGTGTTTGGAGTGGAGCTGGAAAGGCAGAAAAGACCAGAAGGGCGTCGATAACAGAAAACCCCTATGATAATGAACAGAGCAAAGCGTTTGAGATTACGGGCTATTTACTGTATATGAATATGTAATCGAGTAACTGGATATCCTGCCACATCAGGCGCAGTTGCTTAAATCAAAACTGGAATGGAGTCATAAAAGTCTCGTAATATTAATGTTGTTAACTAAAGTCTATAATGAGAGGTTCTCAGGTTGTGCTGCTGCCTATGGGTCTCCCCGTGAATTCTCATCATGACAGACGACCCCCGCCCACGGGCACTGGACACCTCAGTCCCCCAAAGAGCAACAACTTATTAATCTCGGTCGGGCATCCTGCCTCAAACACCCACCTGCACAGCAGTCGAAGGCCTCACTATCCATCCCTTCTCCAAGCTGGAAACCTTGGCAGCCTCTATGATTTCTCCCTTAATAAGTGAGTGTTGAATGAATACAATTTTCCACTACTGAACATTGCTTCTTCTTAAGACGTAATAAGGGAAAGAAAGATGGAGCTGAGATGTGGCTACAGGTCAGGCTTTCTCAACCTCAGCAACAGACATTCGGGGCTGTGGGGAAGGTGCTGTCTTGTGCACTGTAGGATGTTTAGTAGCATCCCTGGCCTCTACCTACGAGATGCCAGTAGCACCCACCACAAACACCACCTCTACTTGTGAAGATGCCTCCAGTCATTGCTAAACGTCCCCTGGGAGGTTCAGTTGCCCCCATTGAGACCACTGGTATAGACAGTGACGGATGGCCTCATAAAGAGGAATTCAGGTGAAATAAGCCTGACTCAGAGCCCATTAGAGGATCCAAGGAAAGGCACACTCCACTCCTGGCTGACTCCTGGGTACAAATTGAACAGACGATGGCACAGCCGAATGGATAGTTGGGCCACACCCATGACCTGTACCAACCGAGGCACATTGAGTTTTGGCTGCAGGAGTCTACCATGATGAAATTTTGGCTTGCCCCCCCCATCCCAAGTATGGCCCTAAACATCACTGATCATAGATTCTCTTGCTTTGCTTTCCCATCAGCCCACAGAGCATTAATGTTCTCCCTCTACTGCTCCAAGTTCCTTTCTGTGCCAGTTGGATAGAATGGGTGTGAAGCCCTGTTGCCAGCAGGCCTCGAGTGCACCAGCTGCATCAGAAGTCCAGCATTTCCCCAAAGCCAAGAGCTGTGATCCTTCATCCTTTCATGACACGCCAGCCGCAGCTCGGTAACGAGTAACAAAAGAGCATTTAATAGAGGCCAACCTCACGTCTTAGCTTTTCAAGACAAGATCACTACCTAAAAGCTCTTACTACCTTCCAAGATGAAGCCAAAATCTCTTCAACTCTAAGACCCTTAATCATTTCTCAGGTCCTAAGTGGCTGAATAAAAGTGGAAACCAGGGATTCACGGCTTACAAACAGACCATGTTCCAAAAGCATGTCCACCTCGAAATCAGTGGTTTGGGAAACACACACATCCTTCTTTAGAAATGATGCACTAAGCAACGACAATACCGATTCACATTTGTGCAATACATTTTCATTTACAAAGTACACTCAGATCCATTATTTCATTCAGCCTGTGAAACGGCTCTGGGAAATATTGGGGGATTATTGTTCCCATGTTCAGAAGAAGAAACTACAGTTTACAAGGATAAATGAGAAGCAGTCCGTGAAATGCCATCTAGCCCATAACAGTTCTCATGGGGAAATGCCCTAATCACACGCGCCACAATGATTCTGTTGGAAAATATTCCTAGTTCCAAGGGTGCAATGGTTATGCCCTTGTGCTGTTGGCTCAGCAATCCTCTCCCTGCCCCTCTCTCATTATGTGGTCTCATGTATCCAGAGCTTCATCCAAGTCACTGATAAAAGCAGAGAACAAGGGAGGGCTCCGGGTCCAGCCTGATGGGCCTCGACTGACTGCCCCCATCAGCATGGCCTCAAGACCCCCATCAGTGCTTGATGCCTCCACCTGTCCAGACCATGCATCAGTCTCTCTTTGCCCCTTCACCCGCCAGGCTGAAGCTGGAGGCTCACGACACCCAGAACGTGAGTTCCAGGAGGGTGGAGGGTGGAGCTGAGGCCAGAGAAGGAGCAGAAGGCTTCTGGAGAAGGTGGGGCAAAGGCACCTCCAACTAGGAGTTCCCCTCACCTCTAGCCTCAACTGCCACCTCACTACTACTGGAACACCTGGGAAGAGGTGAGAAGAGGGCAGTCAGAAAAGGGGGAGGAGGGGAATGGTGCCTGCCGACAGTAGGAAGACAGGAAAGGAAGAGCAGGTGGAGGCCACAGACCAATCGCAGAAGAGGCCACTCGTCCAGGGAAGCTGGATTAGGTGCATTTAATTCAGTGCGTTTGCTAAAAGCTGACACAGTGGAGCTCTCCATGGTAATTCTCAGATGTCATCAGAATTAACAAACTGGCTTGTTAACAATGCAGATTCCTGGCCGCCACTCCAGACCCACCCCCAAGAATCCAGCTCCTAGCTCAGAGCGGCCTGGTCCAGGTGATCTGAGGATCGGCCTTTGGGAAACACAGCCCTAGGCCCTGCGCTCCCCGAGGCCACACATCCTGTGGACAACGCCTCTGTCTCTGCTCCCTTTCTTGCAGTGGCAGATGCTACTGTGGTCCAGTCAAGCTGAGAGCTGCAGCCGATCTGCAGAGGGGCGTGGCATGGTTTAGTTTTATTCCAGGAACAAGCCCCTCACTTGTTCTGTGTTATTTTGACTTTGCACAGATACCCCAGGACTGATACACACAGGTAAGCCTCACTCAGCCTTGCAGTGGCTGCTGGCATCCATCCCTGGCCTGGACATGGTGACAGATATGTCCTTGTGGGATGGATCTGAGATGTGAAAGGAGCCAACAACCACCTGGCATCAAGTCTGAGATGGAGGCAAGGGGTCCAGCAGCGAAGTCCATCTGAGTCTGTGACTGAGCGCCTGCCATCCTAGCAGGACCTGAGGGGTCTACTGGGGCATGAATGAGGGGGAGGAACTCCGATTCTGTCCCCAGCAAGGACAGTATGAAGGCCAGAACTCACCTGAACAGGTGCATTTTCTTTAAAACTGTGTCTGCTCTGTCATTTCAGCCTACTCTGGTTTCTCACAGTGGGCACTTACCTCTCCCCAGTAGGTGTATGTCTCCCTGCTTCCCTGCAGGAGACAGGCAGACGGCCCAAGGACTGGGCGGGCCCCAGGCAGGAACTCACCTTGCCAGTGATGTTTGTAGTCGCACATGCGGGACAGGGCGATCATCATGGCGCAGTACAAGGGCAGGATGGCAGCACAGAGCCGCCAGCTCTTCCCCCGCCCACTCTCGGTGAAGCAGTGCAGCTTGCCAGCCAAGTAAAACGTCGTGAAGCCAAGTCCTGAGAAGGCAACTGCCGAAGAGAAACAGCAGGTGTTACTCTAGCAGGTGGGAAGCAGCAGGGACACAGGGCACCCTGAGCATTGTCTGCCATCTTGCACACTACCAGGGCCAAGGCCATGTTGGCACCAGGCACCATCTAGGCAATCTGTGCTCTTGCTAGAACCACGCTGGTATGAGAATGAGAATAGGTCAACAATGAGAATGACCTTCCAGGCTCGCATGTGATCAAAATCTATTCTATTTCATTCATTCATTCATTCAACAATGACTTAATGGGTGTCTACTGTGTGCCAGACAGGCACTGATCAAGGTGGGGGGGAATAAAAAGATGCCTCAGAGTCTATATCTGGCCTCAAGGGGCTCACGGTCTGAATGAAGGAGAGGGCCACGCTAATAGAGAGTTTTAATACAATGTGTTGATTTCTACAAGAAAAAAGAGTGCATGCAAAACAAATGACTGTGATGACAGCATAGCTTTGAAGGGAGAGGGAAAGTAAGGAATTTTTGGCTTGGTGGCACTCAGTAAAGCTGGAACAGCAAGTGCGGTGGAGAAGTGAGTTTGACAGAGAAACCAATGATGACAAATTCCTTATTTTCTCTTACAGATTATGGTTATTAATTTTTAGAATTGCAAAGACAACTCATAGCTGTGCTGAATCCATTGTCAAAAGTGTGGAGTCGGGGGTAGTATGTGAACCCCAAGCTTTCCATCCAGTCAGGTTTAAACCACAGTTGAACTCAGTGAGTAAGGTGGGTCTTCTGTGGGCTTAGAACAACGGTCCTCAACCCCGGCTACACACGGAGTCACCTTTAAAACCTGGGAAGCTTTCAAAACTACTGGTAGCCAGGTATCATTGTCAGACATTCTGTTTGCACTGGTCTGGAGTGGACCTTAGTGGTGTGCGTGCGTGCGTGCCTGTGTGTGTGTGTGCCGGGGGGGGGGGGGGGACTCCCCAGGTGATTTTTTTTTTAATTAATTAATTATTTTTGGCTGCGTTAGGTCTTTGTTGCTGCACGCGGCTTTCTCTAGTTGCGGCGAGTGGGGGCTACTCTTCACTGCAGTGCGCAGGCTTCTCATTGCAGTGGCTTCTCTTGTTGTGGAGCACGGGCTCTAGGTGCACAGGTTTCAGTAGTTGTGGCATGTGGGCTCAGTAGTTGTGGCGCACGGGCTTAGTTGCTCCGCGGCATGTGGGATCTTCCCGCACCAGGGCTCGAATCCGTGTCCCCTGCATTAGCAGGCAGATTCTTAACCACTGCGCCACCAGGGAAGTCCTCCCCAGGTGAGTCTAATGGCAGCCAGGAGTGAGTTTAGGTGCTTTTGTTGAAGGCAGGGGCTACAGCTCCCACCTTCTCTAGACATCAGCCTATTCAAAACTTTTCTCTTGATGAGAAAATACTCCTGAGGCCTGAGGAGCAGAGCTCCTAGGTAACCAGACCGCACAGTGATTTGGTAGATTTGGTAGAATGGGTCTAATGTCATAACACCAAGGATTTAAGAGACCGTCTGAAACCTGAGCAGCGGCCTCAGCATCAGTGAGTTTGTCACAAATACAGAATGTCAGACCCACCCCAGGCCTACTGAGTTAGAATCCGTATTTCACCAGATCCACAAGCGAGCTGTGTGTGCCCCAAAGTCTGAGAAGGTCTGGCCTACAGCACATTCATCCTCTTTATACAACATCTCTGAGAGTCCATCTTCAGGAAATAATACAAAACTATAGAGAAATCCAGAAGATATTCTGCTCAAAGTTATTTATAATTATGGGAAAATGTAAAGATAAAGAACTGGGATATTTCCATTCAATGGATTATGATGCAACCATGGAAATTATTGTGATTATGTAGCACTACAGACAATACTTAGGACACAATGTTAAGAGAAAAAAGCAAGAGCCTAGATTGTAGGTTCAAGATAATCATGGTTATAGTACATAAAAATGAATAACCTGCAACTTTAACAAATTATCTCTGATAATAATGTGTCTTCTTAAACGGGGTTCCCCAAGTATGAACACAAGCTTGTACCAAAGCAGAACTTTTTCAGCAATCAAATTAAACAAGTAACAGAGTATTTTTGTTTTTAAACAGGATATTAAGCCAGGTTTATCTCAGGAATAAAAATGAAGCACTTAAACATTTTTGAATAATGATTTGTACTCAAACAGGAAAGCAGTGCCAACATATATTGAATATTCTGTTTAAAGTAAAACTATGCGCAAAACTGCATTGCCCAGGCCTGTTCTAGATTGTTTGCTATGATGAAGGGTATTAAATGATTTACAGGGTGTCCAAAGCGGCCCCATTTGGCCATCACCCTCCTAGCAAGTGCAACGGGTTCTTAATTGCCCATCCTCACCCACTTTGCTCTGCTTCTGCTTTTCGTTCACACTCCGCCCTGAGGTAACAGAGTAGGGGAGGGCTGGACACTTGGTTCTGGTGGGTACCGGCCTCATTCTGAGCTCTTACAGGAGGAGTAACGCACTTCGTTCAAATCTGACAGTTTAGCAGTCTACCCACCTAATTACTGCTACTCCATTTATATAAGCGTCTTGAGCATCCATGGATTTTGGTATCTGTGGGGCTCCTGGTACCATTCCCCGAAGGATGCTGAGGGATGACTGTACACTGAATGTGGCGAGCCTAAAAGATCTGCCCTGGGGCTTTGCAGGGTTATGGATGAAAGTTTCCAAGATTTGAATCAGAGAAGAGGCAGCCCTGGGTGTTGCCAAGTTGTCATCTCTTGGGAAAAGAAGTCTCATTAAAAAGAAGGTCAATGAGCGTAGAGGGGATGTTGAGCAGGAATTTGTATGTGTCCCCATAAAAAATGGTTTGGAGACTTTAAGACATATGAGTCCCGGCTCAGCAGCCAACAGCCCTGAGCCTCTGGGCATATTCACAAGATAGACAAGAGAAGGGGCCGCTGAAAACCCTCCAAGGTCAAGTCCTGGGGCAGGTGGTTTGAGGCCAGACCCTCAACTTCCACCCGGTCACCTCCTTGCCCCCAGGAACTCAAATCTGGCCAGTTTTGACAGTGGAGGCTGTGGCTCATTCTTTGCAGAGCGGGTAAAGCATATTCTCTCCTGCTCAGTGGGACCCACGCTGCAGGTCCTCCAAAATGGAGAAGCATCTACTTCTTTGAAAAGGAGGAGGAATTCAAAGACATTTTAAAGGCTGAGTTCAACTGCCTGGATCATGTGGGCAACCAGCAGCAGCCAGTCTCACATCCTATTGGGCCTCCGGGCAGCACTTTTAAAGCAGCACTGTGCACCCTTGTCTAGCTGACATGAGAGACTCAGATTCCATGCTAAACCTTATGCTTGTCACTTTCTCACTGATATTCCTACAGTTACTGAACCAGCATGATGTCCTTTGGCAAAGGGCTTCTGAGGCACTTCCTTCTGGCCCAGGAGGCACGTCCCAGCTGTGGGCAGCTCAGGTGCTTTGTCAAAATTCCTGCTTTCCCAAATACCAACTGAATAAGAATTAGGCTCTACCAAACCATCCTGAATTCATAGGATCCCAGTTTTTCTGCCACCTCCTCCTGTGAGGCTGGGGGTTTGGGACCAGGATGTAATCTCCCATGAGCCTTCCAGCTCTGAGATCCTGGGACTCACCAAGGCTCAGATTCAAGTTCAACTGGGAGAAAAAGAAAACAGAAAGGTTTTTAAAGAAATTCTTTCCAATTCTAGCCAAACACCACCCTCTTCTCTTCTCAAAGAAACATGCATTTGAGACCCTGAGGGGCTGTAGAAGTTTTTATGCTAGTGAGGGGCAGGTGAGATGACAGTCGTTCCAAGTGACCGTCTTCCCCCTGAAACACGGTCCTTGCTTCCAGCATGATTAGGAAATAAAACTGAGAATTGAGCAAAGATGCAGGCAGAGCACTGGACATTTTGGAAGATCGGGATTATAAAACAGGATAAATGCATTCATATTTTGCTAACATTATTAACAGAAATATGACTAGAACAGTCCCAAGCCAGTGGTGTGAGAGAAAACTGAGTCTACTTCTTCAGGGGTAGAACAGAGTTTAGCGCACACACACACACAAGCGCTCCTGGTGATGGTGGGAAGAGCATATGCTCCTTCCTTTCAGAGCTTGTAGCAGGTTTCCTTGGCTGGAAGCAGCTGATTGTAAATATTTCTGTGTTGATCTGGCTGTGAAAAGTAAAGATGCTCTTGGAGCCTCTAAACTAGGAAGCAGATGAAAGAGTGTGGCTTCCGCCCCTGCCCCCCCACCCCGTTTCCGGCATTTTCAGTGCTCACTTGGCTGTCATCAATGAAGAGTCAATAAGCAAAGCATCACAGTACCAGTTGCTGGTCCAGGTGGTGATGCCAGGCATGTCGCATTAACAGGTCTATCTGCCTGCCCAGTGATTCTGAAAGGAAATCACTGATTCTTCTCTCCAGCTGCATAGATGAATGGTCACAGGTTTACAACATTCCCTTTGCAAAGAAAGGTCTATTTACTGAGACAGCTTAGGTGAAAGAATGTTGTTTTGCTTTTTCCTCCCCAGTTGACTTTTCAACCAAGTGGAAGAGGTTTGGACCCCAAGGACTGCAAGAAATAAGAAAACCAGCACCAAAGAAAAAAGCTTTAAAAGCAAACGAGATAAGAATCAGGAGGACAGACCCAGCTTTTCGCGTTGTATTTTTCACTTCTGCTAATTATAATGAATTTCCCCAGACAAACTGATAACTCCTGGCACCACAAATGGAATTGTGTTCTAATGCGGTTGTATGAATTTTTCATTATATGATCCTCAAAGAGTTAGTATTTTCTTTTCCAAGATGGAGAAGGGCAATACCAGGTGGTTGAATAACTTTTCATGTTGAAGGGTGTTTTGAGTTTGCCAGTGCATCTCCACAAGGCCACCCAAAACCAAGGATGTGGGAACAAGCATGCCTAGTCAGCACTTTGCAGACCCCTGACAAGCAGGAGAGGGCTGTTGGGAGTCAGGGATCCAGGTTCCCACCTTGGCTCTGCCATTAACTGAATGCACGATCTTG